TACCTACAGAATCTTATATCAGCAGTCCAGAGAGTGTACTAGTATTTTTATTTAATTAAAAATAATATTGTTTTAATATTATTTTTTTTTAAAAGAAAATAGGATATTTAAAACTTTAGAACACATTTTCAAACAAATATTGTTCCTAAGTTAGTAAAAATGAGAAGACTATTTTTTTTTGAGCCAGGCGTAAATAAAAGATCTATTTTGATACTCATGTATTTTTTTTACATATGTTTTCAAAACGATGGTCATAATGATACATATATGTAGTGGATGCGTATGCGCACCTTTGGCCGATAACCATTGACATATTTATTCACTCCTATGCAAGTCTGGACAAATCTTGGCATACAGGACTTGTCAGAACATATATCAGTTCATTATTAGCAGAGTGTACTTCTTGGTTTTCCTTTGTGTAAAAAAGTGTAGTTCTGTATAAAATATTGTTAGAACTAAAGTTTTTTGTAATGCATAATAGTTATTTTTTTGGATACATCTAGTGCCAATAAGATTAAGAGATTTATAGAAGCCTATAGAGGTATAATTTTGTTTATATTATTGCAGTCATTTGTCAAAATAGAAAATGAAAAGGGCACTAACCACTAAAGAGTTACTTGCTTTGTTAGAAGAGGATACAGATTGTGAAAATGCTGAATTGGTTGATGTTTTTTATGTGTCGCCAGAAACAGATGAAATTACAGATGAGGAAAACTTTGATGAAAATATTATTGGAGAAGAGGGATTGCAGACGGATATTGCAGGAACGTATGAAATACAACTAAGTATAGATAGTGATGATGATTTGGAAGATGACGTTTTTAGTTTTTTATGTGAAAATGTTCGAAGTAAGCTGGATGCAAATGCACTTTACACTATGAACACAACGAAATCTCAGCTAAAATTTCTTTCGGATTTAGCACTCTCTTTAGATACAGAATAGAAAATAGCGATGTTGCTTCAAATACAGCAGTATTCAACTAAACCCATGGAAAACCCTCTCAATCCGTTCTACCAAATGAAGTCAAATTTGACAATATCGGGCATATTATATTATAGAGAGGTTAATAGTGCAAGAAAACAGTGTCGATTTCGCAAAAATAATACTATTTATTTGTGTAAAGTGCATTTGCATCCAACTTATTTTGAAAATTTTCACATAAAAAACTAGTTTAGTAAAAAAATCATTAAAAAATGTGTTCTTCTTGTTTTGGCCAGTAATGGGTTAAGCCAGAAAAAAAAATTCTGAGCTCATGTGCAGTTTCGAAAAAATTGTAAAATTTTTGCCTTGCATTATTTCTTTTGGTTGCACCGAGTGATGCTCAAAAAAAATTTTCAACTCAAGATTTCAAAACCAGAATCTTCAAGCTTCAAGATGCTTTTCTTTTTTTCTCGATAGGATCATTATTCACGAAATTGCAGATTTTCAAAAATTATTAAAAAAAAATTTTAATTTTCTTGCTGAGTGTATTAAAATGTTCGGTGTACCTATGACAGTTATGTCTTCCAGTTCTCCTCTGTTAACTGTATGCGCGAGATACATACCAGACAAACACTTAACCCTATTAGAGAAAAATAAAACAGGAACCTTATTTATGTAATGAATTGCGGCATAAAAGCGGCAACGCGATAGTCCATCTAAGGCATATCTTCGCTGATGACTCTATTAAAAGCTATGACTCGTCTCGTCGCGCCCCATAGAGGGAAGCAGGTTGTAAAAAGCGGCGTAAGAAACCACTTTGGAGATTGTTCGAGTCTTTAGTCTTCACATGTTTGTGTCATATCCAGGCCACTTGACTTTTTTTTTCACGTAAAAATGAACGTTACGGTTATTTATCGCGAAATAACACGAGCGGTAGCCGACATTCCAATTTGAGAAAACTGAATTGACGACAGCGTAATAGCTCCTTACGAAAATTCTCGGCAACGACGCACTTTCAAAAGAAAAAGTCAGCAGAAACGTACTACTGTGTCCAAAAAATAAAGTGAATTGCTTATTTAAAATTCGCGGGTATTATGAAAACATACAATTATTTTTTTGTAGGTTGATAGTACTGTCCTTGATATCTATGCAGAGTTTTAAGCCGATATATTCAATTTCTGCAGAGCTACTCGTGTTTTTGTAAACTTACGAAAGTGAGTTTCTCGATTTTCACTATGTCTGATTTTGTTGAGCCAAGAATTTACGGAAGGTGTTTAGTGATGAGGTTATGTCATAAAAAAATGTTTACAAGTGGTACAAAGACTTTAAAGTGGTACAAAGGCATAGAAAGTGTTAAGGACGAAAAGTGTCCCGAACGACCATCAGCGTCAACTGATGAACAACACGTTAATCAAATCAAAGATGTTGTGCTCGAAAACCGTCGATGAACGATAAGAGACCTTGTTGATACTGTTGGCATTTCAAAAGGTTCAGTAAATACCATTTTAAAAGATTTGTTGTGCTCTTGTTGTGGATTATTACTGGAGACGAGACTTGGATCCACGCTTACGAACGCCAGAAACAGTCAATCGATCGAGTAAATATCGTGCAAAAGGTGAACCAAGACCGAAAAAATCACGCCAGTCAAAAATCAAGGTCATATCTATAGTTTTCTTTGATTATCGTGGCGTAGTGCTCTATGAATTTCTTCCAACCGGCCAAACACTCAACAAGGAATATTATTTGAGTGTTATGCGTCGTTTGCGTGATGCTATTCGCCGCAAAAGGCCGGAATTATGAACAGACAACTCTTGGTTTTTGCGCCGGTTCACGCAACACTAGATAATTCGAGATCATTTCGCCAAAAATTCCACTCATATCGTTCCTCAACCACCGTATTCGCCTGATTTAGCACCGATTGACTTCTGGCTATTCCCTAAACTCAAAAGACCACTCCGTGAACACCGTTTCGACGCGATCGAGGAAATGATATCCGAATCGACGAAAGCATTGAAGGCCATCATACTAGAAAAGGACTTTTCAGACTGTTTCGAGAGTTGGAAGAAACGTTGGTATAAGTGCATTGTATCGGGTGGGGATTACTTTGAACGTGACGACATTTATTTGGAAGCATAAATAAAGATTTTTTATTGTTTAAACAAAGTCACCTTATTTTTTGGACAACGGGTTACATTTTCTAGAACTTCAACACAAAAATGTTACTGAAGTACAAGCACCGTATTTATGTGATATTTTCAAGAAGTTCCGATGATAATTTTCTTCCGAAACGCCGCATTCGTGACTTTATGACCTTTCCGCTGCGTACCCCGTATAAGTTCACGACTGTCGCAAAGCAAACAGACGTAACACAGTACTCTTTTCAGTGATATGTGTATACTTAGCAAATTTAGCGTAGTTTCATATTTCATTTCATCACACTCGACGCCCGGCTTCAGTAAGCCCCATTCAGCAAATGTGTGTCATATTTTATTTCTTCGGTATATTTCCTACGGCACTAGTGCATATTTTGCTTAGTTTTGTTTTTGCCGTGTCGCTAGAAGCACAATACGCTTATACCTTGTGCCTGAATTCAACGGGATAAAATGGAGAGGAATGTAAGTCCTTTTTTTGTCATTTTATTGTACTGTCGGAGGTATTTGTTTATAAAAATTGTACTTGCGTATACGTATATTAATTAAACAATACTAATTTTACTATTAGGTATATTATTGTGGGATTTTCATATAGATTTTTAATATACCTAATCAATCAATTCTAAATGCTGTGATCGTCTTACATAAAACTTGAATAAGCAGGGTTCAGAAAACTTTAAAGTATCATCTGCGAAAGATTGAGAAATCTCGAAGCTGGATAATTTTGAAAATTGTCAGAAAATTAACAAAAAAATTGGCACTATCATGTTTCCTGATATGACAGATAAGAATTTTTAAATAATTTTGGCGGTACTTGAACCAAATTCAAATGATTTGACCAATTTTTACTTTCCCATTAAGCTGTTTTTTAGAAAACTGTAAAATAATTTGGTTCATATACTAGTTGTCAAGTCGCATTAGTTTAATTTAAGGATTAAAAATTGCTTAAAAACAAAATGCATTGAAATTTGTATATGCAAATATCTCGATAACCAAGGGAGACATCCAAGCTCGGTTTGGCCAGGTCGGGAAGTCGACAAAACCCGACTTATTTTGGAAGATAGGTCCCTAAACGACTAACGAGACGCCAAAAGTATAAGAAAATTGTTTGTAAATTCTTGAGATATAGTCACCATAAATTGAAAACAAAAAAGAAGAATGTAAAAATGAAAATTGAATCTTTTGTAGAAATGGGATTTTCCCGGGTCAAAAAAAAAATAACACAAATTTTACTATTTTGCCCTATACCCCTATAAACAGTGTACAGAAATGAATATATATTCCAAACCGTAAGCCCTTTAAACTAATAACTCCTTTATCTATAAGCCGTGGGCCTGGAGGAAAAACGAGATAATTCGAAATTTAATATAGCTTTCTTTAAGTCAAAAAAAGATTCCGTGTGTAGGCCTATAAGAATACAGGTCCCGAGAAGAGAACAGAAAAAATGGAAGATGATTGTAATAATCATAATTTAAACAAAATCGCGGTTCGAAATCTGAAAGACATTGATAAAGAATTGTCGAAAAATGATAAATCTCTAATAACAGCATAGTACTTTAATTTGCAGAAGGTGTTAGTAACGCCCAGGGCCCCTGAAAGAGCCAGACCAGATCTGGAGACATCGTAAACGAAGAAAAGTAATTTTTTATAAAACAACGGACGTTCTTTCATATTTTCAATACACAATCTCCGTAATTCTCAAACTAAAAAATATTTCCCCCTATTTATCAAAGGAATAAGGCATAACTGACGCCCTATACAAGCAACGGTCATATTTCCTTGGCTATTAAACATATCAATCCCAAAAATGTACAGGATCTTCTATTAAGACATGCCCATTATCAAAACTTTTCCTGACAAACGGACACTGTGCCGGTATTTCACACTTCTCGAATGCAACGGAAATACTTTTCTTGTTGTTGCAGGCCGAGGAGCTGAACTCGATAGTTGGAAATGCATTTAAGATGGCTTACGCGGCGCAGCTGCAAAAACAGTCCAGCTTTCAAGACGTAATTGCCTCCCAATTGGATCAAACTCAAACGGATAAAGTACTTTGGGTAAGTATTTAACGGCGTCTCCTCCGCAGATTCGCGGAAGGAGATTATTTTTTTGCGCCCTCGCGCCCGTCCGGCTCGTGTTTACGGCGCAGACAATCCAATCGGGATGCGTTTTTTGCTCCCGGGCGGTAAATAAATGCGTTCGGTCGGGGTTGGCAATAACTCACGTTTTACATAGCACGTTATTCTCCCCCCGTCTCCTATTAATTAATTCTCGATAGCTATCTTTATTTCCTTCTTAACTAAACAATTACGTACACATCAACGACAACAAATTGGGAGTTTGAATGTTGTTTACGGAAGCTTACGGAATGACATCGCCTCATCACAATAAATACTTAGGTACCTATATTTTATTTTCTTCATTATCTATAACACCAACACAAACCAATTTTATTGCAGAAAGTGTTAGGTATAATATTTAGTAATGGTAATCTGTTTTAAGTGTAATTTATTTAGTTGATTATTTAGTATTTTTCCAACACAAATATGTAACACTAATTTTGCACGTAGCAAGAGCTGTCACATATCGTTTGACATAATTTTCATACGGCAAAGCCTCCTTCGTTATAGAAACAATAATCTTTATAGCTACTCAGATATTTGGAATTAATAAAAATATGAAATATTGGAGTTATCAAAAAAATTTCAAAATAAAGCAATAATTAAAGACAAGATTGGTTATAGTTATTTAGAGACCTAATTAAAGGAGGTTGTTCTAGCACAACCTCACTATTATAGCAATAACTTGAAAACGACAAAAGATATCGACCTCCGGTTTGTGTATTTGTTTTCCATAATGAATGGTCTATCAAGCCATGAAAAAAAACCTATATCGTTGCATTTAATTTTTTCGTAAACGGAAACGATTACAAAACTTTTCTCATTAGCGTCGTCTAACGTTGCGCAGGAAAATATTATTTTTATTCCAACATCACAAAAATAAATTTTATTAATAGTTCTTTAAAATGAGCCATCATTTATTGAAATCGATTAAGGCATTTCGAAGTTATGACCATTTAAAAATTTCAAGATAGCGTCCTTCATATTGACGTCGCTATTGTAATAACAAAAAAAAAGTTCAAACAAAACTTGTGAAAGGTTTAACAGTGTATCTAAAAAATGTATTTTCAACTTAGGTTATATAAGCGAAATTTCGAAAAACCGACAATTTTCTGTAACATTATAGCAGTTGCGCCCCCTAGCGGTGAAGTTACAAACTTGAAAATTTTTTAAATCAATTTCTTTTGGTCGTATTTGTTAATAGATTTTTTATCCCATAACCGTAGCACGTCTAGTGTCCTATATACGGCCGCTCGATACCGTTAATGGATCACCCTGTATAACACCAAAATCGTAATTAATCATATCTTCTGATAATAATATGGACACACACACAGACAGAGAAATATTACCCGCATTAGTTGTTGTGGTTCTAATAATTGTAAATTTAATAAATCTTCTCACAAGATTTCAACACAATCGATTCACCAATTCAGATGGTTTACAATTTGGAACGGTTTTGAATTATTTATTTTTTATTCGAATACGAAACTATTAAGAAAACTTGAATATTTAGAAATAAAAAATCAGTACTGTAGTTCGCTCTATAGAATACTAAATAGACTAGGAAAATAAGCTGAGAAATGACTTTTTGTTTCGGCAAGCTGAATTTATCACTATAGATGCTAAATATTATGTACAATAACATATTAGTTTCTAGTCATAAAAATGGGGGGAAGATTGTTCACAGGGTAGTTAATTGTATAATTTTTACGTAAATTCACGTTTTTCGCTTATAACTTTTTTCCGTTCATTTCCACGAGAAAACAATAAAGTACTTTTTTTTCCTCTTCAAAAGACCTACAAAACTAGCCCTCGAGCGTCAAAAAGTATTGATTAGATCAAAAGTTATAAACAGAAGAAGTTTATTTATGACTTTTGAATTAAACATTTATAAACTGCTTTATTATTACCAGAACGTTTTGGCATCGCTTCCTCTCATTCCTTGTCACTGTCTAATAACTCACACGAAATCTGGAATCGGTACAAGTTATGGCCTTATAAACAAATTAACTAATTATTAGTCTGGACGATCCCGAGGATCTTCCACATTCGCACAGAGATCATAATAATACATTGAAATCTATAATTTTATTTATTTTAATTTCAAATTTGCAACCTGGAAATTTTTTTATTTTTTAGCCTTAGTTACAAAATGACTCACGAGAGTGATATAGTTATACAGGGTGTGGCGTCTTTAATGCAGAAAATTAAAAACCTAGACTCTTGACAATAAATGAAATAAAATAATATATGCTACCATAAGGCGATTATGAGATTTGAGTATCAAAAATATTTTCCAAAAAATTACAAATGACAAAATGTTAATGCCGGTCCTGTTTAACATAGCGCAAAAAACATTGACCTAGTCCGCACTCCGCACGACATCTGTGGAGTGTCAGTCAGTGTCAGTGTCAGTACGC